AAACTATCATAAGAGGAAAATCATAAATCTAATAACTATAGCTCTGATACCACATGTAAACTTTTCTGTATTTTTCCTACGTTCTTAATTCATTATAGAAAACTACTCTACAGGATCTTTAGATTATTGATTTTCACAATTTTGCATACATCAATACATGAATCATAGTAAGAAGACTAACCTTGATCCATGAGAATCTTTTCTTTGATCTTTTCGTTCTCCAATCTCCTTTTCTCAATCTATCTCTTTGCCTTTCTTTCTCTTCTCACGCTTCGCTTTCTTGATGGTTTACCGTGAAAAAAACCCTATGCCCAGAGACAGAACCGTAATCCCTTTTATTAACCAACGTCCATCAAGTTGGTTACCTTAAGTTAATATTTTATTTTATCTTTATTTTATTATGACTTCACATAATAATCAATAGGTCCTTATAATTTATTAAATCACATTTGGGTCTATCATTAAATTTCATATGAGTCACATAATGGAATGAATTAATTAAATTAATTCTAACAATCCCAGCTCCCTGCACCGACCACCACTAACCAGCGCCCATCACCACGACCACCATCATTGCGCCTTAAGTCATCACCTGTGAGCCATCTGCCAATCGCACCTACAATTTTGTCTGAGCCGAGTGGGTTTGATTATTTTTCTGCCTGTTATTTGTTCTTGGGTTTGGTCGCGTTGTGGTTACATGCCTCTACTTGGATATAAAATTGCTTTGCTTCGTCTGTGGCTGGTTCATTTTTGTTCAAGGTTAAACCGAATGTTGGTTTTGTTTGTTGTCTGGTTTGAAAGTGTCTTGTTCTGATGTGGGTTATATGTTTGCTGCCTGAATTTTGAATTATCCTGGATTTTGTTAGATTGAGTATAACTGAGTTATTATTTTTGTCTGGGTGTATTTCGTTAGCTTGAATATGCTATTTTCACTTTGCCTGGCTCAATGTGTTGAAATCAATCTTGGCCGAGTGGGGCTGTCAAAGATTGAGTCTAGGTGGTCATGGATAGAACTGGACAATTGCGAAGTTCAACTCAAATTTGTCTGGGATTGTTTAGTTTGTCTCTTGTTTTTCATGTCTAAATTTCCCTTGTTTAAGGAAGAGGGATATACTTGTTTGTTCTTAGGCTGGTTTCGCTTCTTTTTCCTTTTATATATGCTTGATATTTTGGATTGGATCTGTTAGTTTGATTTGGATAGCTAGTAGCTGGTGGTTGAGGCTATTTGTGCGGGGAATTATTTAAACATTGTTATGCTTCTCTGGATGTGTGGGTTTAATGCCTGGTCATGATTTAATCTAATTTGGATTAGTTGTTGAAGCCTAAATGCTTTGTGCTTGAGTCTGGGAATTCTTGTTGAGGTGTTGATGAAGCCATTTGACTCTAGCGTTTATCTAAGTGGGCTTGGTTGGGATATTTTTATTGTGTATCTCACTCTTGTTGATTACATTCTTTTGTAAATTTCGCTAATTATACCGGATCGGGTTGTTTGTATCAAACTATATTACTAAATTAGGTTGTGATATTATTGTATGTTTGGGATGTGTGATAGTTTAATCGGGTAATGTTGTTATGAGTAGTGGATTATTATCATGTGTGTGGCGATCGATTTAGTGGCTATCGGTCTCGCGTGCCGACCTAGGGTTGTCGGTCTCGCGTGCCGACCTAGGGCTGTCGGTCTCGCGCCTTGATTTAGGTTATCCGGGCGTTCATTCCTTTATCATTTTCTTTTCTACAAGGTACGGTTGCTCGCATCATCATACCCTCTATTTTAAATAAATTTTGAAGTATTGGTATAAGTCATATCCTCTATTTTAAATAAACTTTGAAGTACGGGTATAAGTCATATCCTCTATTTTAAATAAACTTTGAAGTACGGGTATAAGTCATATCCTCTATTTTAAATAAACTTTGAGGTACGGGGTACGACCACTCGTGTCGTCATACCTTCTATTTTAAATAAACTTTGAGGTACGAGTACGATCGCTTGCATCGTCATGTCCTCTATTTTAAATAAACTGAGGTACGAGTACGATCACTTGCATCGTCATGTCCTCTATTTTAAATAAACTTTGAGGTACGGGGTACGATCGCTTGCATCGTCATGTCCTCTATTTTAAATAAACTTTGAGGTACATGTACAGCCACTTGCGTCGTCATGTCCTCTCCTTTTAAATAAACTTTGAGGTACGAGTACGACCGTTTGCGTCGTTATGTTCTCTATTTTAAATAAACCTTTGAAACACGGGTATAGCCGCACACATCATTATGAATCTTCAAAACAACAAAAGTAATAAAAATATAAATTTCTTCAAAACCCGAAACAAAATACAAAACCTTCTCAAAAACAAAAATTTTCAAAACATAAATCAAACACACAAGCTTTTCTTCAAAGAACTACATAACCCTGATTTCTCATTTTGAATGATAATACATAAGAGCAATTGGGCTCCGAAAAACTAAAAATATGTTTGTTCATTCTATTCTTTTTTTCTTTTTATTTCTTTGTTTTCTATTTTAGGCGAAATAAATACTTTCAAAAAATGACATTTAATTTCATACATTTAACTAAGGGTAATCGTCTTAGGACAGACATGGTAGGATATTAATATCTTTCTTAATTGTAACTGACTCCCAAATCTGAATCCGATTTTTGTAAACTTTATCTTATCTTTGTAGTTTTTCCATAGTTTTTCTGAATAAATTATGGTGTCAATTCCAAAACTATGATATGATGATTTTTTAAATCTTAAAATATTAAATTTTTTTATTCGTAGTTCCGCCATAATTTCGGTTGTGACAATCCCTAGGTGTATATAAGATATTTGAGGTAGTTTTTTATGTTTTAGAATGGATTAATATCCGAATATCTTGAATATTATCGAGATACTTAAATATTATTAAAATATTTTTTCTAAATATCTTGACAAATATTTCAACTATATATTTCAACTATGATAGGATAGATAGATCATATTTAATAAAATATTATAAATGTTATATCTATTTAAATATTTATTATATTTAACAAATAATATTTATCGAATCATTTTTATCATAATTTTATTATAAATTTTATTTAGTAAATTTTAATATTGTTAAACGGTCTAGTTTTCTTATAGAATTTATCAAAAGCAACACAATTAACTTAATATATCGTTATTAAATATTATATTAAGTAAACAAATTTAGTATTTATTTATTTAATTGTTTGAACTCGTGCAATGTGTGGGGTATTTGACCCTTATATTTTTCATAATTTTTACCTTTTAAATTGTTAAACGATCGTGTAAGAAAATAGACTGAAAGATAAAAAATCCTATCACATTAATAGCTTAGAAAAAACCCAACAAAATCTATACATTTTAAAGTAATTATCTTTTAAAACACACTATTAATACTTTTAATAGTAGTCACGACAATATAAATGCTAATAATTTTTTTACTAATAATCATAATATTATAACAAATACACACAACATTTGTTACATGTAGCAAATCGTCCCTGAGAAACTAAGAAACTGAATTTGCAGTTTCCATTTGCTTCACGTGCACATTCCAAGAGTTTTATTTCCTGATATTAATGGACATAAACGCTTTTAAATAGCAGGGTCAAATGACTTTTTAATATATTTTTTTTAAAATACTTATTACAAAAATAACAAAAATCTTAATTGATTGTGTTTAATTTATTATTTTTTAAAAATCATAATATATTTTATAAATATATTTGGTAATTTTATATAATTTTTTTTACGATAGACAATAACTTTAATTAAGATAATAAAATTATGAAACATTTATATAATAATTTCGATATTTTCATCCCAAAAAAACGGTATTTCATTGATTTTAACTTTTTAAATTTTAAACACTAAAAATAATTTTGTTTTGAAAACTAATTTAATAAAAAATATCAAATAAATTTTTTTAAACTAAACTGTTTTTAAAATACTATATAAATAAACTCTTTTTTATAATTTTTATTGTTTCATATTTTTAGGTTATTTTTTATTTTTTAATGAAGATAATAAAAATATTTATTTTTTAATATTTTTGTATTCGATATTTTATTTTAATTTTATAAATAATCATGTTTGTTACTAAACATTTTTGTCAACCTTTCTTTTATATTAATTTTATTATAAATGTAAGATATTAATACTATTTACTAATTTTTTGCTTGACTCAAGCAAAATAGCATTTATATGTATAACATTTAATTATTTGTGTTTTCAGAAATAAAAGTAACTAATATATATTTCTATAATTTTTTTACGTCAAACTTTATTATAAAGTCATTAATGTCATATGGAAAAAAATATTAAACATTATAATATTTCAAGAAAGTGTTTTATAACAATTTATCTTCTTTAAATATTTTTCATTAAAGTTTTGATAGATTACTACTTATGTAATTGACATTAAAAAATATATATAATTATCAGAATTTTGTATGAAATTTGATATTAATTCTGTCACAAAACAATTACAATTCATTTTTTAAATGTTAAATATGTTATTTACATAACTTCACTATCTCGGAAAATATTACTATTATCTACGAAAAAACAAGTATGGATGTAATTTATTTGATTAAAAAAAAAAGAATACAAAGATAAACAATTCATTAAAAATGAGAACTTTTTAAAATTAAAACTCTAAATAATATAGAATTAAAAAAAGTCAATTCTTAGGACACCCTCTCATTGAATCAGTGTTCCGTCCCTGCTGGTCAACATTTACCTAAGCATTTAATAACACAACAGAGTATAGAGAAGAAATGATAGTGTCATTATAAGTTGAAATCTAAGATCTGAGTCTCTACTTGCTTTGAAACATGAACCTCAGTTGCTATCTATCTATGGCCTGATCAAGAAGCTTCTCTCTCTCGATATATATATTATTATAACATAAAGAAAGAGCACCCTGGATTAATTAAGAGAAACACAGAAACAGAAAAAATGAGGAGCATAGAAGAGAAGAGGAGACAGCATCAATCATGACTTAGCCTGACCAATAAGGACATCCTTATAAGGAGTAGTAGTAGGAATAGGTAAAGTAACTTTGGTCTCCTGAGGTTCATGGCTTATAGTTTGTCGTTCAATGATCAGAGGAACCCGTCCTTCTCTTGAACTCTCCAGACGCTCGTGCGCTCCACCTCTTAGTTTCTCCAGTCTAATTCCATTCATTTGTTGCATCTTGAACACTTTGATTAAGTTTGTCAACCCACCGATAAAGAACATTAGGCTTCCGCATATGTTTAGCCAGACCCAAGTGCTACCCTGTATCAATCATCATAGTATTAATAGTAACTAAAACAATCACTGCCAAACTTTAGTTTAGTTGATTGGATTCATTATCAAATGAAACAAGATTGAGCAGGCCAACTCATAGCTATGCAGTGTCACTGGTTGCTCAGTACTCACTCACTCACTCACTCACATGGAAGTGTTGGCTGACCAACTGACACCTGAATTGTTGTTCAATATATGTAGACTACTTACAAGTAAGTGAATGCCATGGTAAGTCTTTCTAGACTTCTCCTGATAATTGAGAATTGCACTCAGCATGAATAACAAACTCCCTATCAAAAACGGAATATACACACACTGCTGCAATATTTGAACATGACCGTCCGCTCTCTCATAAATTTGGCATGAATTATGAATTGATCCTATCACCCACAATACAGGACCAGCAACAAGCAGGTTCAGAGCATCCTTCTCCACTTTGATGTACTCGTATCCTTTCACCTCCTGCGTTTTGGTCCACACATACACACACCAAGAAAAGATGTGTCCCATTTAGATTACTAAAACAACTAAATAAATAAGTAATCCAAGCTTGTGGTCACATTAATGTAAAGACACAAATGCAAGCACCAAAAGAAACAAACAATTGCATACTACTGAAACTACGTTAGTCAAAGAGTTAAATGTCTCCACTATAAAATATCGTTAATTGCACTATCTTCATTCTTCATGTCACTCGAGCATCTCATAGACATGTTAGAAATAACCTTTGTTGAATTCTAAAATAACTAATTATACAGTCTTACCAATTAGGCCATGTTGAGAAATCAAAATATGAATTTAAGTACTATATTGAAAAAATGAAGAAGTTTAGTAAGGGAAAAAAAGAGACCCTCATAACCTAATAACCTAAAGTCTTAGTGTCTTGACGTTCCTAAGACAAGTTTATCCAACAATTGTTCTATTTAAGGACTGATGCCTAAGTTTATATAAACCAGTGAAATGATTATGGGTCTAATTTTCATATATTTTTTATAAAAATAGTGGCAAAATATGCGAGATTAAGCACCTGTTACTTTTTAAGTTGTTGAGTTCAGTTGGAAAACATAAGTTGTTTAAAAAATAAAATATATGAAGAGTGGGACTTACACCCAAAATACTAAATGGCAAATATATATTATAAATTTTATAATCCTTACTTGTTATATATACAAATGAGGTGTAATAGTGAAATTCTTGTAAGAACTAAAAAACCTTATGATTAGACTAATTAACAATGTTTTCTACATGCATTAAACTCTAGCCTTTGGTTTCCTCATAGAATCTTCGTTAGAAGATGGTACTATTTGAGCTATAGTAAGACACAAACAGAGATATAAACCTCATCAACTGTGTTAGTTTAAACTCTATATTTTAAACGTACAACATAATACAATGGAACTTTCGTAGTCAAGAAATCATACACTAATTCATAAAATAAAATAATGACACAATATGATTTGACTAGAAAAAACATAGGAACCAAACAATCATAAAATAACTAAAATCACGTTTAAAGTTTTTTTTATGAACGAGGTAGTAAGTGTGAAATAGGATACGTACCTGAATAAAAAGTAATAAGAGTGCTACAAAGGGAAGAAGTGTTCCGAGCATCTGAATGAGCGGAACGGCGAACTCGACGAAGGCGAGTTGAAGGTCGAAGGTCATCAAGGGAAACCAGAAATCGATGCCAACGAGATGGGCGAGGAGATCATGGAGATTCACAAGGAGGATGAAGCCCAAGGCGGCGATCATAAGGACGAGGCCCGGTCGGGCATCGGATGAAAGCTGCGCCGCGAGGCCCGAAAGAAGGAGGAGGGAGGCAATGAGGTAAAAGCCCGCGTTGATGTACTCGAAGCGGTTTTTTGAGAGGCCCGGCCCGTAGGTGCGAAAGTCCCTCGCCGATGCTAGCTTCACCATTTCTAAGTTTGTTTTGGTGTTAGAGTGGGATTCGGACCCTTACCAGAAGAGAAGAGGGGTGGCGGTCACATTTCATTTCGACACGTGGCGACTTGCATGGGGTTGTGTTTGTTATGTTCACGTTGCGCTTTGACACGTGCCGTGACGGCGAATAAACTGCCGACGGTGCTGGACATTCCACTCCCATTTCTCTAATTTTGCTTCGCCCAACCTTTTCTCTGCTTGGACCCTATTCGGTTTTTGGGCCCCAATTGGGTAATTCAATTGTACTTTTAACATGAGCCCGTTCCTTCAACCCAAGTGGAAAAGCCTTATGGGCTAACAACAAAATCCTGTCAAATCTCGCCTATTTTTTGTCAAAATTTTAGCATTTACACCTTTCAAATCATTTGTTACTTTTACATTCATCCTAAAATCCCAATCGTACAAATGGAGATTTTTTTTTGTTTTGAAAAGTACATGTAAAAGAATAATAACAAAAGAGTTTGATAAATAATAATAATAATAATAATAATAATTTAAATTCAAGCAAAAAATATCAAGAACCAAGTACGTATTGAACACAATAAAATGAAAAAGCTGAATAATTTAAAAGTTCAAGACTCGTGTATTAATCAGATTAAAATATGACGATCATTAATTTAATAGTATTAACTAATTATTTATTAAAATGAGTGTCTTATCTTTCCATATAGAGGTTACTTTTTTTAATAGGTTTAGTAATATTATTTCTATAAACAGTTGTTTTTGTATGAAAACGACATGTCAAATATGTTTTAACGATCATTCTTGTTAAATAATATATTTTATTTTTAAGTGACTCGCATAATCAATTGTGTTATAAATGCTATTAGTATAGTATGAATTCTAATTATTAGTTGACGTACCTAAAACACAATTATCCTTAGGAGTATAAAAAAACTCTAAATTAAATAGATTTTAATTTTTGTACTTAATTTACATAAAAAATGACATATTAAAAATAAACGAAACAAGTTTTAACAAATGATAATAACATTCTATGTATAATAGAAGAATAAGTGGTTTAATATTATTAGGTGGTATTTAAATAAATTATTTTATTGTCATCGATTCAAAATTTTGTTATTATACGGTCTTTTTCTTTATATATAAAATTTCAAAAATCTTGTTAAAAAGTATGATTTATTATCTTAATTTTTGTAAAATAAGAATAAACTATTTAATCAACATAATAATAGAATTATAGATTTTATCTAGAGATTTTATATCTAAAGTAGAATAATTTATTAAAAAGGACATAAAATTAAGTTATTGTTAGGTTCACTAATCATAACTTAATATAGTAAAGTACTTCTTACCATACAAAATGGAAAAGTAGTCAATAAAAAATATCCTTGAACTTTGTACCTTGTTTCCTTCTTCACCCATCAAACAAAATTCTCCAAACCAAAGTTTGAACCTACATATTTCATACAAGAAGAACACACAAAGTCATTTAAAGAAGGTTCAAACCTTGCCAGTAGCTCATGGATCAGTACACAAGTAGCAAATCTTGATTATTAATCTTGAGGAGCCAAATAATATATTATCAATAAATAATAAATAAATATAAAAAATAAAAGAATATAAACAGATGAGAAATAAAATGTGTAAATATACAAACAAGTATATTTAATAATCATTAAATTTAAGGAATCAAAATTATAAATACCGATGTAAGTTATAATACTTTAAGGAGACATGATTTCCTCACCTTCCAAGAAGCTTAGTGACTACGGGTACATTAATTCCTTCCACAACATAGTGCTCTGACCTTCTTGTTGAGTCCCTCCCACTTATGTTGTCCCCCTTACTTTTCGTTACCATCTCCCTCTTGATACCATAGAGGCCCTGGACCCCATTCTTTTCACCTTGATTTCCTTGATGGTCATCGCCCTTTTCCTTATGTTGTTTGATGGAATTACGACACTAAAGTTGCATGAGGCGTTCGAGATCCTCGTCATGGTGCTGACCAGGGATGGAGTGGAGTTAGGCACGACATGTGTGAGAGCCATGATGAAGTGGTTGGGGGATCAAAGCCCTTAGGAATTTTTATGAGCAGGATGCAAGCATTGTCAATGTGCACACAACAGATAAAATTAAAGTCTATTTTTTTTTATTTGTTGTTATTTTTATTTTTATTTTTTTGTTATTTGTTGTTATTCGGTAGAAAAATAACAAATAAGATATGTGCTTAAATATTACATGGAATATTTCATGGAATATTACATTGAATTCATTATTACATGGAATATTACATTGAAAATATATTTGTGGATAATTATTTATTGGTTTTAGTCTAATTTGATATTATGCAAGTTCGTCCTAAGGTTTTGATACAATTTGACACAATTACATTATGACTCATTGAGATCGGACGATTCTATATGATGATCCTTTGAGGTCGGACAATTTTACATGATGACCCTTTATAAGGTCAGATGACTCTACACAATAATCCTTTAAGGTCGGGTGACTCTACGCGATGACCCTTTGAGGTTAGATGACTTTACGTAATGATCTTTTAAGGTCAGATCACTCTATATGACGATCCTTTGAAATGATTCTACATAATGATTATTTGAGGTCATATGACTTTATATGATGACCCTTTGAGGTCAAACGACTTTGCACAATGATCCAACAATTCGGTCATAATGTAATCTTCCCTTTTAGAGGTACGATTATGAAAATCTCATCCAAAAATATGATCTATTATTGAATTATTGGCAAGCGTACCAAAATTATCAATCGTAGTATAGTATTTTAATTAAATAAAAGTCGATCCCATGAGGAACAGTTACAATGAAAATTTCCAAATTATGCTTACTAAGTGGATTAAACAGATTGAGTTTTGAAAATAAGAGTTGAATTGAAATTAAATGACAAAGAACTGTAAATTGTTGAGAAAATATCAATTAAAGACACTTAAGATTGACTTCCTTCCTCATTCCTCTTTTGTAATGTCTATGTCAATTAAGAACGTTAATTAACTTAATAATGTTGATGTCACTTCCTCAAATCATCCATGTTGATTCCTTACGCATGAAATTCATAAGAAAACCTAATAAATGTTGATTCCTCACACAATTAAGAGATTTTTCAGCATTAGGTTTAGGGTGTTAAGCAATTGATACATTCATTTCATTCCTAACAATTAACGTAACAAATATTCTTACTGTGATCTAGGGTTCAAGATATATTTTCCAATCATACCTCAAACAATCAAGAATAAATCATTCCAAATCATAAAGGATAAGAATAACAACATCAAAGCATAAATTAATATATCAAAATATCATCATGATACAAAAGAGTTCAAAGGAAGTGCACCGAATCCTAAGAGAATGAAGTTAGTCACTCATGTTGGTCATTACAATGCTCTAATTGATGAAGAAATGAAGAATTGATGAAGATTAGACAAAACCCTAACAGTAGTCGTGTCTCCTCCTCTCCAAGACTGCTTCCTTTTCTCAAAACACATCTTCTCTTTAAATTGGAAAATTTTGGGTTTCGCGTCTGTCGCTCGAGCGAGAACTTTCGCTGTTTTCGCTCAAGCGACAAAACGCTCGCTTGAGCGAATGAACTCCAGAGAAGAATAACTAATATTCGCTCAAGCGAATTTTCCTGCACTTGAGCGACTGACTTCCAGAGAAGAATAACTTACATTCGCTCAAACGAATTTTCCTGCACTTGAGCGACTGACTTCCAGAGAATAATAACTGATATTCGCTTGAGCGACTCTTGGCTCGCTTGAGCGAGTGAATTTCAGAGAAGAATAACTGACATTCGCTCGAACGAGAATCCATCCCGCTTGAGCGACTTCCATGCTAAAAAATTTCTTCCTTTTTCCAGTTTTACTCCAATTCTGCTATCAATTATGCTTCTTACTCTTGTATCAATGTATTCTTGAATTCATCCTATATTGAAAGAAAAATATATTAGAATTAACAATAGTTAAGTGGTTTCATAACAATTCAAGGTATAATTATATCAACTTTTTACCACTTAACATCTATCAACATAAATCCCATATAATAAAAATTAAGTTATTTAATAGACATGATAAAATAATTCTAAATCATTACTAAGATATTCTAGATTAAAAGTAAAACAATTCATCATGAGAATTAAGTTACTATATCATATTCACTTAAAAATCATAATTAATCAAAATTTAAGAATTTTTAAGAAAGAACAACTTTTAACAAGGTATATATGTGTTAGCATCTTACTTTCATTACTTCAATTATGATAAACCGTCATCAACAAATTAATGAATAATAAGATTTTTTAAGTAATGAATGGACAATAACAAGTACAAATATATTTTAAAGTTACGTAATAGTACTTAAAAATTGGTTACAAATAACTTAATAATAGACTTTATAACTAATAAATTAATAGAAAAAAAAAATATAAATCTTATGAGTGTAGATATAAGGTAGTATCTCATTAGGTAGCAACAATCTTAACGTGACAGCATATGACTAACGATGATATATAAAATATTCTTTATTGTTAATATACTATAACTAAATATACTAAAACAGGAAACTTAATCAGGTAGGAAATGTAATTTATTTACTATTAATAAAACAATCATCTCATTACGATACAAGCAAATTGGTATGATTTTCACTTTTCCGTGTGACCTTTTTATGTTAAAGCACACACTTTCGTAACTTGATTTTTTTTATGCTCTCTCTACGCCTTATGTTATTACACACTACTCTTATACAAATTGAGCTAAAATACAAAATATTCAGCAACAAAAACTTTTGGTGCGACTTCATAGCTTGCACAAAGACAACAAAACCACTTGACTAACCAAAAATTTTATGGTATTTTCTAGTGTCTCTTACACGTCTTATGTTATATTCTACACTTTCTTAGAAAATTGGCTAAACTACAAGATGTATTCACCAACAAAAACCTTGGTGAGACCAGAACAAAAAAGAATGGTATGGTATCAGAGAGCATGCAGATAGATATCGGTGCTTAACGTACGATCAAGGGAATTGATTGGATGAGTTCATTGCTGCTGTCAAGATTCATGAATGTGTTCATCTTTTGATAATGGAGGTGTTCATTATGCAGACACTGCAAAACATGAGAATCGTACATACTAAACAGATATACGACGAACGCGTAGCTAACTGGCATGTGATATCACCAATGATTCCAGAAATAGAAGCATATTAAAATTTGAGCTTGCGGTTGCGTGGAAAGAGGAGATCAAGATTCGTGGTCTTTTCAAAATAATATGAATTTTTCTTTTGGTTTTGCCGAGTGATATATATGGTGATGTCTGTCAAATTAGTTCCCACTTTCGTTGGTCGTCATGTGAGAAAGATAAAAAGGACTACTCTGACTGATCCAGTTTTTGATGTAAAATATGTGATAGAAAAAGAACAAGAAGCAAATTCTGAGTTGACAAATGCCTGGCATATAATATATAAACAACCAGAGAATAAAAATCCATAAACCACAATCATGACATGCATGTATAAATGTGTTTATAAGGTGAAGTAATATAAGGGTTTGATTTTCATTAAAATCTGAAAAGACAAAGAATCTCCTATACCCTTGCATGTGTCTGAGCATATGAGAAAGGTGGCAGTGGCTTGAGAGTGCTACGTTTATGCAGAGAATTAATCAGCTTCTGTGTCTCCAAAAGCCTCACCAACACTCTTGAATTGCAAAATCCAGAGAGAACACGTAGAAAAGCATTCCCAAAAGTTCTCACACTCAACTAATACAAAATTTTGGGCTTCATGTTAAGATGGAATCCTCCAGTGGAATGGAAAAAGGGGTGCCCATACTTGCCTTGCCAGGTGTAATTTAATGTCAAACAATAAAAATGAAACAAAACATCAAGCAAAATAGTGTGTTTTAGTAGTTTTTATAACTTTTTTTTTTCTGAAACATCTATTGCTGTTCGTTTTGGTTTCTAGTGTGTAACAATAGGTTTCATGTGGTTAAAAATTTATATATTTTATGATGATGTAAAAAATGGAAAATATTTTTTTCCTACATGTGATATATATATATATATATATATATATATATATATATATATATATATATATATATATATATATCATACACAGTACTCAATATTTTTCGTTAATTGTTTACTACTCTTTTATATTCTAAATGTGGGAATGAAATCCAAGAACTTGGAAAGAAAGTGATCGAGTTAATTGGGATTAATGGTGAAGAAATATCAAACACGTATTATATACGCATAATTAATTAAATGTGTTTGAGTAAACAACTTAATTAAATGTGTATTTAATAATATTAACTTATGAAACACGCTTTAATCCTGTATTATTTAATAATCCTGAAATACACATCTGCCCAGCTATTTATTTATTTATTTATTTGTTGTTATATGACAGAAGAAGACAATGGGTTGACTCTGTTGTCTAAAGATTTTTTTTGTCTGTGTTATATATATTTATGAATTAATTTTTGTCTATCATTTTTCTTTCTTCGTAAGTAAAAAAAAAACTTGTTCTCTGAGTATTGTTGGTAATGATTTGTAAGATGAAAATAGGTTTTGTTTATACGACGTCTCTTCAGATTGACCTGGTCTCCGTTCTGTTTTACCTAACATCTATGATGTAACGTGTAAGTTGATGTAACACTTACGTGACATAGAAGACGATACCAAATATTTTACGTGACACAGTTGGCAAAATCAACAACACCAACCTAGCTATCCACAACGTTACAGTTTCTTAAATTGATACCAATTCTTTAAAAATGCATTTTTCCATTACATAAACTTATAGATAACTTTAACGCTATTGGTTTTAGGGGTCTTCTTTTTTACTGTTTTTATTTTTTAAATTTATAAAAGTGTTCAATAATAATTTTGTTAAATATTTTTTGAATATTGCATTTATTTTAGTTTTTAAATTTTAAAAGATTAATAAAATATATTTTCCATTTTTATTTAATACTATTATTGTTATAGTTCGTTTTTATTATTATAAAATTATTAAAATGAGTTTTTCAACTTATTTTTAAAATATTTTTTTAAAATTATATTAAAGAAATATAAAAAAATCAAATAAATAAAATAAACTGTTAAATTTCTTTTTTAAGTTTTAACGTTAATGATTGACAGAAATATAGAGGTCCGCCGTATATTAATAAAAAAATATATAAAACATTAATTAAATACATAAAATATAATTAAAGCTTTTAATTTTTTTTATAAATTTGATTTATTTTTTCATCCAAATGTATATATAATAAGATGAAAATAATTGATTTTTGTAAAACTTTAACAAACACCAGTAATTAAAGCTATGAAAGGAAAATTAGGCATAAATGAGACAAACAAAAAAACTAAAAATATAACTAAATGAATGAATTTAGGGTTATTCTTTCTGTCACACATGAGAGAACCAAACCTTCCCAAATCCCTGCTCCTTTTGCAAAGGGAGAAAAGACAAAGAATAAACAACCGTGTCTTATAACGTGGCTCGATGCTAATGTACGGAAAGAATGTTGCTGCTGACCCTTGAGTGACTCATGTTTCGTGAGTTTTCTGTTCCAACTTCAATGCCACTTTGTTTATATCTTCTTCCCTTTTCCTTCAACTTTGGCTAATTCTTCAAATGTTGGTCACACATTTTTCATTACTAATTTTTTAACAGCATAAGACACCTTTAATTTAACCATATATTATTATTAAGTGTGCAATATGACCAAATCATGATTGCCCCATTGCTCCACATTTGAGGAAATACACCTTTTAACAGCTGTATAACAAAAATTCCAAGTCAAATTAGATTTCTTCTTCTTCTCTTCACTCGGGATATCTACCATGAATAGTACTATCCTTAGAAGAACAAAGATACTCGTTTTGTCCGAATCTTTTTGAATCTTATGTCCCATAAATTGGCATAATAATAATACTCCTTTTCACAAAATGTGGACCAAAATTTAGAATTTTACATAAAATTTTGCATCTGGTTTTGAAATATTTCCTAGTTTACCGCACGGAGGGTCATAAAGATAAACGAGTAAACCAAACCTTGATCAATAAAAGAAACCATTTATTAAGAACTACAACTTAATTATGTGAACAGTACATCCAAAGCTAAGGGGACCATTGTCTCTTAAAAAAAAGGAAATAAACACAAAGAAAGGAATATATGAATAGAACATTCTGAAATCTTCAACAACCTTTCCCCTTTTGATCATTGTTCACGATTTTTCGTTCATGTGATTCGTGATATTCATTTCAACTTTCCCTATTTCCATATCCACCTTCTCCAGGTCACCCTTGCTTGGTTCTTCCACACCACTCCCTTTTCGGTATATACAGTAAATTACAAGCTGCAGGATGGACAAGGGATTTCCAAGCACACTTGGTCCCTGTCATTGTGAGAGAAAGAGAATATTAATATTCGCAAGATTTTTGTTTTTAATTTATAATATTCAAGGGATTAGTATGACACAAACCGCAACGAAAATATCACGAATGAGGAGTCCATAGATCAGCCAGAGTGTAGAAGAAAAGAATGAGCACATGGATAATGGTAGTGGCATGAATTCCACACTCTTGGTTTTTATAACTTTCTTCTGCACCAATGAAAAATAAAACATTTGTTACATACGTATTATTTAAGCCATCATTAACCACGTACCACAGAAACAGAAAAGGAAACGCTCTTAGTTTATTTTGTTTGGTTAGTAGTGAGATTAGATGGTGTGATGGAATTTCTCTGTTCCAATCACTAGCAAGAATATACGCTTAGTAATAACAGAATACTTTATCAGTGGAAGGAAGACAAAGATCAGTCACTCACCATCGCAACGAGGGGAGATCCATACAGTGTTACTGAAACAACTAGACCAATGCTACCCACGAGAAGCTTTCGGTGACGGTGATCGTGGAATGCAAAAGCTGAGACTGCAGCAATTATGCAGAACACAACCACAACTGGTATTGCAGTCATAGCTACCCTCACCTGCAACAACATTTACTCGTCTCAAAAACCGTGCAACAAATGGACCTGAAAACTAGAGTTATGTTTCTCAAATTACGTTTTTCGTTCTTGTTTCACCATTTTTTATTGTGATTATTAAGTGGTGAAAGATCTTTTTCTATGAGGAAGAAACTGCTAACTATTTTTTCAGCAAAGAAGTTAAATAATGAAACTAGCTTGCATATGATTCAAAACAAGGTACCAAGCGTGAAAAAAATGATTTTTTTCAACGCATGAAGAGATTAACTTGGCTTACCTTTCCTTTGGGTGAAGAAAACCAGAAATAAATGAGAACATAGGATAACTCGAGAAGAATCCCAACACCATTAACAGTGACAATAGGGAAATTTTCCCACTTGCAGCTGACAACAGGCAAACCGTACCAAGTGTAAAGGAGACAGTTCAAGAGTCCAATGATGTAAGGAATGCATGAAAATTCCTCTGTGCTTTTCTTCCTTATAACTCTTTTAAAGGTAACCCTGAACATGAAAAGCATGAAAAGCGTTCAACACTTTATACATTCTCTAAAGGGGAGAACATTAAAGCAGCAATATTGCTAAACATGTAACATACATTGGTGCGGCATAGAGGGACATTGAGGCTGCGTTGCCTGCAAAAACAAAAAATGACAAACAGAACTAATGAGTCACTTATTTTGAAGACTCAATCAATTAGTTATATCCTAAGTTCTAAGCTACGGAATGAACGAAAAGGTACCAAGAACAGCAGTAACCAAACGAAGAGTCTCAGCCATGTTTAGTTCTTTTACTGAATACTTAGAATACTGAATACTTAGAAGTTAGAAGAGATGAAATATTTTGTACTGCCAACAAGTGCACTGAGAATGATCTATTTATAGCAGTTTGGGAACACTGTAGGACGCGTAGGCAAACTTAAAATAATATTAGAAATGAAAACAATATATAAATTAAGAAAGGGAAGAAAAAAAAGAAGGAAGAAGTGCTGTCTACGTCTTTAATAATCATGTGGATGCGAAATTTTGTACAAATTGAGAAGCTTTTCATCAACTTGCTCAATATAACAGTATTCTTCCAAATTCCCACCCAGCCCCGCTACTTTTATTTCTCCAGTTTTAGAGGCCTATGTTATGGTGAAGCAAGAGACACAAAACATAATTTGCCATAAACTCTGATATGTGGTGCCTTCATTTTTTACAATCTCTTGCGTGTCATTTGATATTTCATGTTATTATCCGTATAATATTTTTTATCTAAGACCTTTGTTTTTTAATACAAATTATCAGTGCCTTCTGCTTTTTTGTTTGGTTGGTAAAGCATTATAGAGGGCAATAGTGCGTTTCAAAACATTACTAAGATGATCTACTCGTCATGACGTGGCTTCCATTTTGTAGGGATATAGGAGCTTATTTGGTATGGCGCAATTAAGTAGGATTTTGCTTCTCTAAACGTCTGTTTTTAGCAGACAAAGTGAGCAATTACAACTTTTTCTGTGGTCACTGAGCAATTATGAAATATTTTTCTAGTAACTTTGTATTGTAATGTATGCATGTGTATGTTTTATAAAAATTTCACTTAAGCTTACTAGTTGTATACCTTTTTCCCTTAAGACTACATTTAGACAAACCCAAATTGTGGTACATTTAGACAAACAATTTACAATAAAAAAAGCTAAATTTGTTCAGACACTTAACTAAATTTTTTTACTAAAACAAACCATATTTTGTCACAGAGATTTATAAGTCATTTTCGTTATAACCTTAAGAATGTTACTACTCTTAATGTTCCGTAAGTTGATTGATGGGTTACTGTTTTAGATTTGTATTACCAATAATATATTTTCCAGAGATTTTTCTTCGCATTCTCCCAAAAATAAAAATAAGAAAAAAAACTAATGTAGTATTTTATTAAGTTTTTTTATATTAAAAAATTTATCGTAAAAAAGTTCTTCCAATTAACTTTTATAAAATTTATATTTTTTATTCATAAAAATTACTTTTATTTTTAAAACCTTTTGCAAATTGTATGTTGTCCCTTTTCTCTTTTTAAGGAAAAGAAAAATAATATATATATATATATATATATATATATATATTATGTTTATATTTAAATGAAATAATAATAATAATAATAATAATAAAAAAACACATGGTGTGAAGTTTTTCCTTCTTCCATTTTCAGGGTGTGACATTCTTTTAATTATTTTAATACTACAATACAATACTTCCCTTAATAGAAACTATTTGACTATTTTAAAATGAAGAATGCAGTTTAGATAAATAAACACGCATTGATTCCAATTGATGTATACAAGATTAATAATTAAGAGTTGCAATAAAATTAAACACGTGTATATATTTAACAAAAAAAAAGTGTAACTTAAATATAATTTTGTATTTAATATTATAATTTGTCTTCTAAAATTCACATAGCAAACAGACTCAGTAATAGAATACATTAAAAAGGCAAAAAAAAAAATTGAGGAAAATAAACTAGTTGGATTAAAGAATAAAATATGGCGAATTGAGTCACACTGTTTGGCCGCAGAATATAGAATGTTATTATTCTCATTAATTCATGATCAATAAATTCTTTGAAGTTTGGAGGAACAATGGCTGGTATGTGGAATAAAAGTATAAAAATAATGAGAGTGAAGCGTTTGAGTGGTGTGCATTTCACAAACTCATCAGATGAATTCTATTCCAAATCACTGCTCCAAAAAGAGGGTTTATCTTTGGTGATGGCGATGCCTTAATGAAGATTACAGAGGAAAATTATAATAACCACGAAAATTAAGTAAAAGGAGGTCTTTCTAGTCCATTACAAAAAGGTGAATGTGAAGGGGCCACACACAAAAGTGTGCTTAAGAATGTGTCAATATGCGTGATTTGAAGTTAATTGGGAGTTGAAGATGTTATTATAGTGTGGATTGGAATTTCAATATCCTCAACCCCAAAAATGCAGCGTTTGGTTTCCGATGCTTGTTTGTTGTGCATGCCGAAAGAATCTTGATTTAATGAGGAAGATAGCTGGCACCGCGCTTCTGCACACGAAATTATTTACATATCTGTTTGTTTCACCTGCACATAGCTGGAGGGTCAATTTTACAGCAACACTTTTTTGACTCAAATTAAGACTACCATTCATGCATGCACTCTCCAACTTGAACCTGTGTTCCAAAAATTGACCAATTAATGCAACACTTTTTGGTATAGTAATAGACTCTAGATCATTCATTGGGGTTACCTTTGGACAGGTGGAGGTTCCTAGCTTCTGTGTATTTGGCGATCTCTATGTTTCCCCGTATAAAGTGACTCATAGAACATGGTAGATATACATAGAATACGGTTCTGACCTAAGCAAAAGAGACATCTCCATCGTATTCTGTAAATTGTGTTTGGCGTTTGTTTTATTATGTCAGGCCAGCTTGGTGATTAATTACATTACAGCATCACAGTGTCGTAATTAGTTAATTTGCCCATGAAGAAGCTCCATGGATGACACGAAAAGCTTCAGCAAGAAACATTCCCTTTGATTCATGTAACTGATCTAGAGGTATCATGGCATGGGATGAGATCCAGAAGAGATTAAAGAGAAATAAAAGAATAGCCCCCAACAAACCTAATTTATTTTTCATCACTTTTTTGTACGTGTGTTTTTGATAGTGTCATCGATTTCCCGTATTTGTAAATTGACCCATCAAATTTGTTGCATCCATTCTTATGTCCACATATTAACGAAGCTTATATGAAAATCTTATCTATGCCCCCATGATAAAGTTTACTTTACATGGAAACCCCACAATTACTTTATATTTATTAAGATGAATCAGAAGTCACTTATTTAACAAACAAGGGGCCGATAATTAAGATATAGACATGTTTGTTGTTGGGCTAGAAAGCATAGGAAAGGAAGTAATTATACACTAATACTGACAAATGCATCGCTATATATCCCATGCACTTGTCACACACTATATGCTATGCTATCCACAAAAAATAAACCCATTTAATTCATTCAACCAACCTACTAATTAATTCCTTAAAGACCCAACCTTCGTTTCCACAAACAACTGTTTCATAATCATTTTTTATTATTATATTAAATCATCAAAAGTGAATAATTTATGAATAAAAACAACCCACAACTCTCGTGAATATTTTTCAATGTTTTCCTACAAAATATTAAATAAAATTATCATTTCATATTTCAACTTTATGATTGTTATAATTCTCACGTCCAATGTATTGTTTACTTTGGAACTTTCGCCTATCATTATTCGTTTTGGAACTTTTATGTGTCACGATTTTATCTTTAAAAGATGTTTCGGTAGGTTAAGAGAAAAAAATGTATTTAAAATATTCATGATCTCGATTCCTAAACGATGTAATATTCATGAGTTACTGGAACATAAATCCCCTAGTCGAGGACTAAGAATCATCTGTTAGTGAAGCGAAACTCTACTCTCAACCTTACGGTGAACGGCAATGTTCTATTTATGGAACGAGAGTGTCCTGATGTTATTTCTGTTATGATAATATTATTAGGATCAATTTGTATACCCGAAGTATTGTGGGTTAAGAAAAAATTGTGTATATAAACTATTCTTAATCTCGACTCATAAGCGATGTAAAGACTAATGAGTATAACGAAACACATCTGATCAAGATATTGTTCTTCTTTTTTCTCCAAGTTTTTGGATTAAATCTCAAAATTTATCATCATTAAAAAATATCCTTTCTTAAATGAATTCTTTCATAGATTAATTAAAAAAGCTTAAAAAAATACATTAGTATAAATAAACTTCAATGTATATTTCTTATAATAAGATTTATAAAAATGATAACAGTAATTATCCAAAATTAAAAAAAATGTGAAAACATTTGATAAAAAAAAAATTAGTAAATAAGCCAAATAGCCATGACCAACATCCTACTTAGCAGCCATTTACTGTGCATTGTTTGGTCTTTTTCGAGTTTACCTATTTAGTTAGGAGCATGATGGAATTGATAATAATTTGTCCGTGTCACTTACTCATTGTTGTTAGCAAAGAAATTGGAAAATAACGTGTGGACACCTTTTATTAGAATATATAAAGTAATGGAAAATAAAAAAATAATAAAAAATTAGTGAAATATAACTTGCATCCAACCATAATTTGCTCAAGGAAATATATAGTATTAGGGTCACAAAAGAAAAAGACGAGATATCATGAAAGATGGACTTCAACGGTAGTGTTAGATTTGTTTTCAATTTGACGTAATCATTGTTATTAACTCTTTTAAATAAGGGCTACAGATAAGATAGGATATAGTACAAAAATTAGATAAAAGTATGATAAATTCTTATACTATGATCGTATAGTGTTTGATGTGTACTAAATACTTTATTATTTATATTAAAACTATATTATTATATAATATTAATATATTGTATTAGTCTACTTTTTTTTACTGATATTAGTTTGTTGTTATAATTACATAATATTTTAAAAGAATATTTTTTATATATTTTTAAAAACTTATAAATTTTTTTAAAATTATGAAAATTGTATTTAGTATTTCTTTTTACTTTTTGTATACTATTCCATTTTGTAAATTATACAAATTAAATAATAATAATAATAATAATAATAACTACTATGATCAATGAGATAATTAAAATTAAACATATTATGATAAATTGTAAAATGACAAAGAAACGTATATTTTTTGTGCGTTTCGAAAAATATTATATTACATTTTTAAATTATTGATATTTTTAGGATAATATAAATAATTTTTTCATCTTTAATCTTATTCTCACAATTTTTGACAAATTGTTTTAATTTAATTATTAACCTTGGATTTAAATTTGACTTCAATATTAAGAATATACACAAGGTCGTTAAAAACTTAGGAGATTTTTTTTTTAAATATATTTATCAAAAGTAGTTGAAATTTAGCATTTGAAAAACTAGTTAACACGTGAAAGTTGATAACTAGTATATAAAACTGTTAAACTAACTTATAGAAAAAAATGTTTGTTTTATTTTTTTATTCAAGAAACTGAAAATATAAATGATAAATATAAACATATATTATATTTATCTGATATAAATTTTTTTGTATAAGCTTCCTTTTTATTCAATGGCTAAAACTGTTATAATTATTGTTTTTCAAATTTTTATTTGTAAATGGATAATTTTAATCACAATTTTTAGTTCTAATTATTATAATTTTTTCATTATGTATTATATATTACAATATTTTCGATGAAGTTCAAAATGAAGAAAAAATATATATATATATATATATATATATATATTGTTAGAATAATTAGTGTTTTGATTAAAAGAGTCAGGTATATTAATAAAATGTTAATATTATATAAATGTGTCTTCAAAATTTGAATAATTTTATAATAAATAAGAAAAGAATTAGATATATGAATATAAATAGGTACAAAATAAAATATTGGTCCCACCATCTTTTCACCTCGTGTCCTCCTAAATCAAACAATTAAAATTAATTACTTCACTCTTTCCATCTACCAAACTAAGTGTTGATATTTTTCACTAGCATCAACAAATAACTCATGTTCTTTCAAAAAATTAGTGGAAGAACATAGAAAATTGTTTTCATAATAATTATATTATTTATGTATATATATGTGAATAAAAAAATCACAATCTTCAATCATTTAAATTCTTGAAATAAGTAAACTTAATTCTAAATTAGATTAATTTATTTACAAACACTTGTATTGGTTAATACTTGATGATTCAATTAAAAAAATAATAAATATCCAGAAACGCATTGAACACATATATCTCTTTATGGAAAGAAAAAACACATCGAAAAAAGCAATAAAGGTGGTACGAAATAATTCATTTTGTGTAAAGCATCAAACTTCTAACACAAAATGTGAAGCCTAATTGATGTACGCGAAAAGCAAGGTTATACCTAACTCCATCTTCTCTCAATGTACTTATCCTCTTCCCAACATTTTATAGGCTTTGGATTTTATGCAAATATATCCTTTTTCCTGGATTCTATTCTAATATGTTTTGTACGGTCCATGATGTCTGGTGGGGAATTAACGTTAGGATATTGTTTGAAAAATAAAAAAATAAATGATGTATATCTCACCAAAAACTAAAAGATACTCCTATTGGAAAGGCTGATAGAGGGTGGGGAAAAAAGGAAAAGGCATTGAACAACAAAAGGAAAGAATGAAAGAAACTGGCAAAAAAGAAACAAGAAAATGTCATAAAAATTAGGGGAACGGAACATAAAAATTAGTAGGTTGATACACAGAAATTGAATAGTTCTTACAAACTGTGATGCAGGAAAAAATTTAAGAGAAAGTGGGGAATAATAGAGAGGAAATAAACCCCTTCATTCAATTAGTGGGACACTCTTGTTGTGTGGTGTGTGGTGTGTGGAGAACGTGGTTTGCCACAACAGTTGAAATTTTTAGAATTCTGAACTAGAAAGGTTCATTTTAATCAAGTGTAAGATATTTTTTTTAATACATAGAGTGTTTGAATTGAAGTAAATAAATTAATTATTTCAGATTAATTTAAGGCTACAATAAAATTGTTTTGCAGTTTTCATGTATTGGTAATTTGTGTTTTGGTGATAAATAGAAAAAGTTAATGTTAGTTTGTTTTACAATTATTGAGGGAACATTTATTTTCTTCTGTAGTAAAAGAAGAGGACTAATTTTTCGGAAAAATAAATCTAAGACGCATTTTTTTTTCTAAAAATAATTTTCAATTTCTACTTTTTAAAAAATTATTTTATAAAGGTGTTATTTTTTTAAATTAAAAAATAAAACTGATAATAATTATCATCATAAAATTATCAAAATTAGTTTTAACTAAATTTATTTGATGTTGATACTGTTCTTTTTCACTCAAAATTGTTTTAAAACTATATTTATAAACAAAAAAAATCAATTTATTCAAAAATATTTTTAAAATTTAATCCTGAAATTATTTTTAAAAACTTAAAAATAAAACTAGATAAAACAAGTTATTATTTTCATCTATTTTAGTTTTCTTTATAATCTAGCAAAAAACTGAAAAACATCATAACATAATTTAAGAAATGTTAATAACATTCTTTTAATAATTTCTTTATTATTGACTGCAAGCTATTAAAATTTCCTGATTTTGACATGTCTCGTATTTAAAAAAAGTCATTAATGAAAAGTGATACAAATGTAAGATTATAATTTTCAATCAACTTTTGCAAAAATAATAGAAAAAATGTTAGTAAATAGTGTTAAAAGAGAATTTTCCAACCTTTCCCAAGATAAAATAGGTTATCCAATCATAATAAGATGATAATTAAACTCATATCTAGGTGACCATTCTATTTTTGTTTCAAGTT